GTTTAGTCCTTCCGGCTGAGTTGCTTCCATCAGATACTGAAAAGTTATCCTCCTCACTGGGAAGAGTGTGTTCTGCTAGCCAGGAGCTTAGTTTATTCACTTTTGAAGAGGAGGTTGTGGTGTCCTATCTTTGATCCGGTAACTTGCACAGTAGGAAATAATTTAAAAGGAGATTGGGGGAAAGGTCAAATTCAGGACATAATCCATAGCTCAGCAGTCAGGAAATTCTCCGGAGAAAATTTCGTAGAAGTCCTGAGAAGATAATTAGAGGAACTCTGAAAATATATCCCTGCTTGTATTTGCATTAGCTGGAGAGAACTGTAAATGTAATTGTTGTACTTAGGCTGTAGTCTTCAACAGTAACAGAAAATTGCTGTTAACTGCTTGCTTGGATACTAACTAATAGTTTGCTGTTAATTCTTTTCTTCACAGACCTATGTAGCCAACATTCTTATTGCAGTGAATCCATATTTTGATATACCTAAGTTTTATTCTTCAGACACTATTAAAAAGTACCAGGGTAGATCACTTGGAACATTGCCACCACATGTTTTTGCTATTGGTATGTATTGAGCCTGTATTTGTCTTTTACAAAACAAACATTAAGTACCTTGCAGTTATCTGTAAATTGCCACCTGTAGCAGTAATTAATTTACTTTCAGGTGTCATGAAGTAAAAACACTTATTGCTCAAAATTGCAAATCTTCTCTTCCTTGATGTGCACTTTAAAGAACTTCAAAATTAGCGACCCTGGCAATACTGCTATGATTATTCTGCACCTCCAGTGTTTTATGTCTAAGCATTTTAAATCTAATTTACAACCATTAAAAAAATAAAAAATAAAAAAGAAATTCAGTATGTACAAGTGAAGAATGACTTAATTATGATTGGCACAGTCTTCTAGTGTAGTGATTTCCTTTGCCTTTTATTATGTTGCCAGAGCACATGCACTGTATCCTTTTTATATGCTAGTGTTCTAGGCAGAAAGTCTGTTTAAATGTTAAGAGGATGAACCTGATTTCAGTCTCTTTTTTTTAAGAAGAAAAAAATTGGTTAACTTGACTTGTTAAAAACCTTCTCACTGTATTGCATTTTGTTTTGTAATCAAAAGTATAAATAGCTGGGGTTTTAGTATCTGTTACATAACAAGAAACCCGCTTTTTTCTAAGTTTCCTTGTCTTAGATGTTACTTCTTATGAAGTACAACTGAAAGTTTCTCTTTAAAAAGCTTATTAAAGTAAGACTGGTTACTGTTCTGTAAATACATTTCATTCAAGAGATTTAGTTCTAGGTAGATGTGTTTATTTTATTTTGTCTTGGACATAGTTCAGTAGGTCTTCTTTTTCAAAGACTTTAAGCTCTTACATGCCAGTGTTGGAGCATGAGCAACTATAATATAAGGGGAAACAGATTTTAATAAATTTTAAATATTTACTTTTTATTGCTGAAAATGTTACATTTTCACTTTTGCACTGTAGCTTAACTTTATGCTTGTAATTCTACAGATTTGGGGTTGGTTGTTTTTTTTTTTGGTCATGTTTAACACATCCTTCTTTTTTAGCCGATAAAGCATTCCGTGACATGAAAGTGCTCAAGATGAGTCAATCCATCATAGTCTCTGGGGAATCAGGAGCTGGCAAGACAGAAAACACTAAATTTGTTCTGAGGTTTGTGCTTTTGAACAAAAACTGCTCTGTGAATCTCTTGTGTTGATGTATTTGGTTGACACACAGGGTAAATTGTAAGGTAATCAGTAGGCTTCAGACACAATTCGGTAAGGTAAATATATGTTTCTATGTGCACTTTAATACAAGAAATAAATTTGGTTAAATTTTAATGCTGGTACAATAATATACGGAAATGACTATATACTAACAGAAACCGTTGCTCAGTTGGGGTGACACCATGTAGTTATTATGGTTTATGATGCAGACATTTTGGTATTGCACATCTGGTATCGTGGTAGATAAAAACATAACTAGGCATTTTAACTGTATCTTGCAAGACACTGTTGGTTTTGCCATAAATGTGCATTTCTCTGTTTTCACTGTCTCCGTTTTTTTTAGTTTGCTTGAGTATCCAGGGCTTTTAACTCTTGATTTTGAGATGACTGCAGGGATTCTTTAACATACTTGCCCAAATAAGACTGAATAATGGGATTTATTTATTGATGTTCATGTATGACTGATACTTAATCAAGCATATTAAACTACATAGAGGCTGATACGTATCAGCCTTGCTTCCTCTTACATGATTCTTAATGTTTTTGACCATATTTGCATTATATTTTAACTGCTTTATATCGCTTTGGAACACTGCAACTGGACAGCACTTCTCCATTAAATTCACCTATACCACAGGTGGCCTGATTATCCAGGGAAGCACAGTGCAGGCAGTGCGAATGTGCTCTCTTCCCCGCCTTGTCCTTGTTTCCCTGTATAAATCTTTAATTCCCTTTTCCCTGACATCATGTGTTCTCTAGTATTTATGTACAGTAGCAGTATTATCTTCCAGATCCCATGAAGAGTTGTCACGATTGTCTGTTCTTCATACTAGTCTTCTCTGCCCCTGTGCAACCTTTAATAGGTAGCTGTAACAATTACTGCAAGGTGCTGGTAATGATTTTTACAGGGGACATCCTAACTTCGGGTCCTACTAAGAGTAGGAAAGGATAGTAGGCACTGGGAGAGTATCTCCTAATGATTGCTCTCGAAGGAGGTTATTCTGCTTGTCGGCAAGGAAGTTCTGATTACGGAGCAGCAAATGTCATTGCTGTTGCTTTTCCCCACCACCTGCTCCCATAGAGTCCATGTACAAAACAGTGAGTTTTAAAAGCAGAAAGGTTTTTCCCTTGTGTAATCAGAAAGCAAAAGGTACTAATATAGCTCTGTTAATGCTCCTGAAATTTTGGGGTTTTTTTGAAGGCCCCATTTTCAAGAACTGTTTTTAACCTGTCCCAGATTTATTTATGAATTTCCAGAAGCATGCCCTGTGTACACAGAAAAAAATAAAAAATAAGGCTGCAACTCTGGAGGAAGAACGTTGTGGATTTATTTTCAAATTCTTTTTTTCAATTGCTAAATTGAATCGTACCTTAATTATACACTTGCAATTTCCTATCTCACTGTCTCTATGTGGAATTTTTGTTAACGCTTACAGTTACGAATGCGGAAACTGTATGCATGGAAACAGTCTTTAATTCAGGAAATACACATGAAACCTTATGTGTTTACTAATATTATTAATTAATACAAATAGTACAGTAATAGTTTCATTATATTTGAATAAGAGTATAATTTCCATATATATGTCTAAAAGAACTTTCTAATGTGCCTTGAAGTATTGGAAAAAAATCTGAAGTCTGCAAGAATACCTTTGTTTTAACAAAAAAGAAAAGTCAGACTGCGTTTATGGTCAAAGATACAGATATTTGGAACTTATAATCTATATGCTTTCCCTTTAGTAAATGGTTAGTAGGTATGGTACACAGCTGTGCTAAACTGGTGAATTGCAGTATCATGACACATGAAAGATACTGATATTTTTATTTTTTTTTACAGGTATTTGACAGAATCCTATGGTACTGGCCAAGATATTGATGATAGAATTGTAGAAGGTATTGAATTTTCTTTCACTGAATTGAAGGTTGTAATGTGTTAATTTTTTTTTTGTGGGTTGTTTTTTTTTTTTTCTTTTTTTAAATTTGAAATTTTCAATCAGCATCAACTAAATAAAAGCTAGTATGGAAATACTGTCAGACTTCCTAGGGCATAATTTCATGCTGTGTACTAAATCACTGTGTGATCCTAAATTCAGAAAACATATTTTTTATTTGTGATTCACTTTATTTAGTGCAGTGTCATGCAGTCCTTGAGCTAGAAAATGTTTTAAGTCTGTGTTTGAGTTTAACTTCACACCAGGCATATCCCAGATTGGATTTTAAACTGTATGAAATCTGCAAGGACAAGACTGTATTCTCATTACTATCTGTTAGTGCCAGTAATTCCTCCTCCTCATCATAAACTTCTCAAAATCAGATACGCAGGGAAGTTCTTTTCAGTTATGGTTCTGGGTCATTTTTTGGTTACATCTTTTTCGTCAGAAAGCACATAATTTGGATAAACTCTTTCATTGTGACTATTCTTACAGTAGACTCCCAACCAAGGTCTGAAGAGACTGTGTTGACCATGCAGTTGAGCCTCTTTAATGTTGCATGGACTTCGTAATTGCACAGAAAATAACTCTTTGAGAAAACATAAGTATCTCAAAATCAAACAACCTTCAGCCAATCTAATGCTTCATATGTCAGTTTTAGTCTTCCGTAGCATATGGTAGATTTATTTTGCAATTTCATTACTCTGTATCTTTTTCTTAAACCTAAAATTTTTACTATTTCTTTTGCTTTAAATTTTTCTCTTTTCAAATTTGAGCCACTGGATTAGTCAAGAGAAGTACTGTGGGCTTTAATCTCTTGTTGCTGTAGGTTTGCTTAAACCAATTCCTTAGTGAAATCTACTGTGTGCTAAAGGAACTCATAAAGTGGCCAAGAGATGGATAATGCCAGATGCAGTATGCCATAAAATTAACTGGTACTTGAAGGTATTCTTGGAAGAGTTTGGGGTTTTTAATCTGAAACAGCATCTGCTGCATGAATTTTGAAGTTTTTAAGGCACAATTTTAATGAGCATGCTTACAGCATATGTACTGCTAGACAAACCTTTAACCTATCTGAAAGACCTCTTGCAATTTGTTTTTATTCATAATCTTTTCTTTTAAACTGTTAATATTGTGTAAAATACCTGTTATCAAAGATCTTTGAATTCAGTTTTGAAAGTCAGCATTTTCGTAAGTTTAAATATTAAAAAACCTAAAATCTAGCCAAAAAGAAAAAGCTAATGCTGATGTTGTCCTACTAAATGATTGATTATCATCCATGCTTTATCCAACCAATGTAGCTATTCCTTCATTTTTTAATTTTTATATGGGCAGATTTTAGATGGTGGTGTTGGAGTTTTACTTCTGAATTTCTTGCTTAGTTTCCAATGCATATCTTTTAGCTAAAAGCCATAAAAAATCTTGAAGATATTTTCAGTGGTTTATTTTTACCATGATTCAGTAAATCAGTTTTCTCTGATCTTCAGAGCTAGCAGAATGCAGTCTTTCAGAGGCCTTGTGTTTCCTAACTACTAACCATTTTCAAACTGCTTAAACTGCAAATGATGTTTATACATGTGTGTGTGTGTGTGTGTATACGCATATATATATATATATGCATGAGATTGCTGACACTCCTTCTGTATGGGCTTTAAGGTGCTTGAAAACAGCAGCCAGTAAAAAATAAAATCACTCAATCACTTAATTGACCTAATTTGAAAGGGCATTTTTAAGTTGTTTTTTGAAATCAGCACACTCTTCTAATAAGTTTTGGTTTAGGCTTTTTTTTTTTATTCCCTCATCAATCTGACATGTTGGATGCATGACATTTAAGTGACATTTTTGTCTGCAGGATAAGTGGGTAGTTAAGATTTTATGACTAATCACTCATTGGGAAGTGTCAAATTGTGTGTTGTCTCATACAGTTTATGTATCAATTATTTACCTACTTGCTGTAGAAGGACATCACTGAATTATATTTAGTGTTTGTCTCTGAATTACTTACAGTATTGATTCAAATATTTTGCAGTGTTATGTGATATTTAAGTACTTCATGGTAAGTTCCACCACATTATACCCAGTACAATTTATGAAATTGATCATTCCTAGTAGGTGGTATTTTTCCTTTAATTTTTCCAAACCTTTTTCCCAATAAGTTCACTGAATAATTAGTATATATGTGTTCTCTCTTTCTTTTTGGTAGTTTATTGATCAAATGTCAACACTTCAAAACTAAATTTTCATTTTTTAAACAGCAAATCCCCTCTTAGAAGCCTTTGGAAATGCAAAGACTGTTCGCAACAACAACAGCAGTCGTTTTGGGAAATTTGTTGAAATTCACTTCAATGAAAAGGTACTGGAATTTTGTTACAGATAACCAAGGATGACTTTTTGCCGTAAAATGGAAACATTAGGCTGGAAGTAGGCTGAATAGATATTAATCTTGCAGCAAATAGCTGTCCTACTTCATATATTTGTTTTGCATTCTATCACCTTGAAAGGAAAACCAAAGCCATGCAGTACTCTGTCACTACTGGAAAACAGTGGGTCAAGTCAGCAGCAAAATTGCTTCATCCACAAAAGAATAAAAATTGTTCCCTTCATTTGCAAAAAGGCATAGCTAAATAACAACTTAATTGCTTTTAAGTATTTATGCATTCCTTTAATGCACAAATAAGTGTAAACTGCATATTAGATATAAAGAGATATCATCATATTTTAGTGCTTTAATACTTTAAATAAACTATTGACGTTTTTATGTATTTGTATGAAATTTTGGGACCTCACATTGGTATTATGTATGTGACAGAAGTAATGGAACCATTTTTTGTCAGAATTACTATTCACTATGAGGCTTATGAACAATTTTCTTTGGGTGTAGTTTTGTTTGGATAGTGTATGTATACATTCCACAACTAAGGATGACTGTATGGCTGTCCAGCATGTCCAAGTTGAAGACTTTTGTTGACAGTCTTTGTAAAGATCATGTACTTGCTTCCTAATCTTTCTGACTGAGGACATGAACAAATTATTGCATTTCCTTCCTGCAGACTCTGAGCTCATTATCTGGTCTTGAGCTTGTCGTCTTTTCCTAAGTTGTTATCACTTGGTTTTGTAACCAAACTTCCAATCTTCAGTGAATAGTTTAGGTAATTCCTTTAAGGGTAGAGGGACTATCTGTTGGTCCAGTTCACATTAATAAACTTATGGATACTTATATTACTTCAGCGGAAGCAAATACCACTTCCACTATCTTCAGAAACTACTTCAAAGCCTGTTTCAGCTTTTCAGTGCAAGATCAGGCTGCTTACTTGAACTCCAGCCTGTTTACTTGAGGCCCTTCTTTGCTAGACTTCATACTTCACAAGACTTCACTTTGTGACCTTATATTAGGTCTGGTTTCTCAAAGCAATATGAGTCCAGACTGGGGCCTCCTGAATGAGTGGATGACTGCATAACCATAGTCAAATTTGTAAGTCAGTAAGTCCTTCTTAGTTGCTGTAATGGCCATAAGCTCAGGAATTTCCTTCCTCTTAAGATTTGCCTAGGCACAGGAAATTTTATCATAGGCCAGATAAATGGATTTCAAAATCCGTGTCAGACTTCCATCTCAGAAAAGAAGTGCAAGTGTTTGAAATAAAATGTTTGCTCATAATCAGTCTGCTTAAGATGCCGTCCAAATATATAGTCTTTAATTTTAACCCTTCCTTCTCCTTTGCATGAGTCTCAGTGAAATGCAACTAGAGAAGGTAATGGTAATGGTGCTTACTGCTGTCCAGAGCAAATAAGGGTGGCTGTAGCAATGCTCTTTGCAGGAACTACTGGAATTCTACCAAGGATTTCTGCTTGTTCGGGTGAAGCATACCCTTCTTTTGAGAGGAATGTATGTATATACAATATATGAGCTGGGAGGAGAAATTATCTAGAGACAATGGTTTCTTTTATAAGCTTAATATGTATTAGTTGTAGATATATTTTAATCTTCTTTGGAGCAGTGCCTGAGTGACCTATGATCAGATAAATGTAAATGTAAAACTTCTGAATCTCAAATAATAAAGAAAAAAATTCAGATAATCAGAAAAAATATTTCTTCCTCCTAGAACTCGGTGGTTGGTGGATTTGTATCACATTACCTTCTGGAGAAATCTAGGATCTGTGTGCAAGGCAAAGAAGAGAGGAATTATCATATCTTTTACAGGCTTTGTGCTGGTGCTCCAGAAGACATTAGGGAAAAACTGTATCTAAGCTCTCCTGACAACTTCAGGGTGAGTATGAAGAGCCAGTGTTTGTAAAGCTTCTCATATTGTATACAAGCTAATAAGATGCAAATAAAATCAGTGCTGAATGTAATGCTCCTAAATATACCTAAATGAAAAAAGAACTTAAACAGTAGGGAAATAAGACTTGAATCATTGTGCATACTTCTTTAAAAAATGTTAGGTTAATATTTAGTAGCAGGGAAAAGCAGAGTAGAATTTTAGAAGTTATTGGGAAATGAAGGGAGAATGAAATAGTGAGTTATGCTGCAATGTACATCCATGTTTGCAAATAGCTTACACAGTTTTGTCATCCCAGATCAGAAAGGAACAGTGAAAACTTTGGGTGAAGCAGAGGTCATGATTGAAGACAAGCTCTTGGATAGTATGGGTCTTTTAATTCAATCCAGTGTGCCTGTTCAGAAGAAGTAACTACTTCTGGTTTGCTTACTACCTTCCCTTCCTCTCCCCATGCTTTATTTTTAAGGGTTTCTGCCCTTTTCTGAGTCTGTGTGGTTTCTCCTAATTAACACTGATCCTGTGTTATGTTTCTAGTAGCAATCCAAATCCCACAGAAAGGCTGGCTTTCTCTCCTGCCATTAAGTTCAGTTCTTGCATTCTTTTCCTCCCATTTTTCCACTTTTTTTACTACTTCAGTTTAACTTGTTCAAGCTTTCCTTCTTTCTTCTCCCCTTCTGTATGTTCAGATTTCACTGAATTGTTTTCCAAAATCATCAAGTAATGTGATGTTTCCTTTTGCTTTCTTTTCCTTCTTGGCAATGATTTTTTTTTGTTCTCTATTTTGTTGTCTATTTGCCTGAGAGGGTCCAACCCCATTTCCCTTATTTTTAAATTCTCTTAATTTCTCAGTGTGTTACATCTCAATTATTGCCTTTTTTTTTTTTGAGGAAAGAATATTATTAAACCCTTACACAACCAGTGCTGCTTTACTGATACAGCTGTTTCTCATTGTTTTCCTGACTGTCCCTTCTCTTTCAGAGTCCTTCTAAGCCTATTCGCATTTTACACTGTCATCACCAATCTTACTAGTAAGGTGAAGACTTGCCTTCAATCATTCATTCCTGCCATTTAGTTATATATACATATATATGTTAGGTTTTTGTTTATAGTTTTGTTTTTCTTCTCCTTTTGACAATCACACTTGAATTGTAAGTATCTACATGGGCTTTGTTGACTTGTATTAAAAAGAAAAATATTGCCAAATCAAATCCTACTGATAAATACTGGTCAGTTTGCTTGTCTCCATCTCACACTACTTTCTTGGCTTCTTCTTGGCTTGAAATCTCACAGAAACAGAATTTTGCATATTTCTAAAATAGACCAAATCCCTGCGGTGGGTTTGCAAGGTGGGTTTGTAACGCAACAATGTGGAATTACAACGACATGTATTAATCAACCGTCACCTTTTTACACTTCCTTGATCTTAAATGAGGTGAGGAGCACTGCTAACAAAGAATTATCTTACAGTGTTGATTGTTTTCTTTGTTGGTGTATTCTCCTTGAATATTTTCACTTGAAAATAGGACCATCTGAAATCTAAGGTAATTCTTATTTTTCACAGAAGTGAAACATCATTAGAAGACAAAAGATAATGTTCCTCCACCCTCCCAGTGGGCTTGCTTCCCTTTGATCCCTTCCCAAGCTTTTGGTCATCTTGGCATAGGCATGCAGTTGCTCTGGGCATGTGAACCAAGGCAGCTGCATTGGCTGTACCTTGTCTGGATTCCAGCAGCACTGATGGGGGTTACCTCTCTATTAATTCATCCTTCCCCTGCAGTTGCCCTGGGGAAGCATTAATTGACTCAGCAAAGGACTGAAAAGTTGCAGGTTTCTTACCCAGCCCTCCTTGAAGCACATCTGCCCAAAAGCACGCAGTCCTGGATGCTTGTGTTTTAGGTTCCCCTGCAGAAGTTTTCAGAAATTCAAAGTCATTAGGTAACCCTGTGCTGAACCTTGGAGGTCTATGTGCCTTGGACTACACCACATGGCTTTGAAAGTAAAGCTGCACAGTAAATCTGTACCTGGACTATAGTTGATGGACATGAGGAGCTGAATTTTTTTCAGATCTTAATTTGAGAGAAATCAGAGTATCTTATGTTTGGGTCACTGATGTTATATGGAGGTGTTGTACTTCACAGTAAAAAAAAAAAAGGGATAAGAAGAAAAATATAATAGTTTGTTAGATGTAGTATATGATAACCTCAAGCTGTGTATATGTGTGCTTCAAAAATACAGTTTCTCCTACATTTAGTATGTAAATATACTTGAGTTTTTAACTTTCAAATGAAAGCCATTATCTGGTGATTAAATGTCTCTTACATTGATTATTACTGAATACCATAGTGGTTCACATTCTCATCCTGTCAGGTGAGTTTCCACACACTCCTATTGAAAAGTTCACTTGTCATCTCCAGTTTCTTAGACAGTATTTCGAATACTGTAATACAGGGATACATTGTGGTTAAAGTATGCTGTGCTTTGCATTCTTACTGGCTGATAAAGATAACTTTTCAATATTTTGTTAAACACCAAGCTAACTTTGAAAAGTGTTTCTTGTCACTTTAATACTAAATTTGTCGCCTAGTTTTCTTCTGCTGTTAGAAATGCTGTATTTTACTTTTTAAAATTTCTTATAGAAATTTTAATCAAAGTATAGAATTATCTGTGTTCACCTAGTTGAAACATCTTCTTTGTTCATGGGCTACAGCAAAGAATCAGTTCACTTCCTTTAGACAAAGAACTCTGTCAAGCTTTTCTGGACAGAGCTCTCACTTTGAGCTGAACAAATCAGAAGGAAAAAGCTGGCAATCCCATATTGCTGGAAGAGTTATTCATTATCTGAATGCCTGGTCTATTCCCTTTACTATACAACATGAGATCAATATTAGAAGCCAGGTTCTGAATAAGGCTTCAGCTTTTACCATGTTATAAGCTTTTAATACTCTTCAAACTTTTTAATCCACTATCTATCTTACTACTTATAGAAATATTTCACTGGTAAGGAAATAATGAGTAAAGTTTGATACTACACATGGGTCAGAAAATTTATTTTCTTGTTTCTTAATTTTGGTTGCGTTTCCATTCATGGTTTAGTTGAGTCAAACATTGAATATCCCACTGTATCAAAAAGTATTTTAGTTGTCAAAATTAAGAAGCTTTCAATAGAATGTTGTTACTGTTGCATTTTGGTAATTTTCTAGATGTAAATGAATACATTTTTAAGGAATGGATTCTGAATACCTACTATGTTGTTGGTATCATGTGATTAAATCAAGCTGTGTAGATCACGCCTTAAGTAAAAGCATGTTTTCCTTACTTCTAAGTACATGTTTCCACTTCTTTTGTTCTTACAGTATTTAAATCGAGGCTGTACCAGATACTTTGCTAACAAGGAAACAGACAAGCAGATTTTGCAAAATCGCAAGAGTCCTGAGGTACGTTTGTATCTTCAGTTAGTTTATATTATTAACTAATGCAGATAGAGATGAAAATAATGATTACAGTTTTACGGTGTGGAATGAAATGTTCATTTTACACATCTTTATAGGTCTAAATGGTTATTGTCAAAGCTGGTATATTCAGAACTCTGGTTTTGGAGTTCAGTCCTAGAAGTATATTTTAACACCTTAAAATCCCAAATGGAACGGATTATAAAATTGTTTCCTTTTCATTCTTATAACACTTAATGATGCAGCTTGTCTTCCATGCAAAACAAAAACCTATCTAAGACTTTGTAATTTTCTTTTTAAATCTTACTACTGCTAGGAATAGGTAGAAGCAGTAGGTTTTTTACAGAGCTATTTTTACTGTCTGGATTTTTGAAGTGATGCTCCAAACTGTTTTATAAAACAACGTAGCCTCACTTCCAGCATAAGTCCACACCCCTTTGCAGCACACTGCATTCTTTATTGTTTTTTGTTGTCCCTTAGTTATGAACTGTTACTTTCAGCAGAGCATGGCATTTCCTGAAAGAAAGCATGAAACATTAAAACATTTTTTTCCTCTTGCTCCATCTCTGTTTGTTTTGAAAAACTGGAATGACCAGAATTTGTATCATTTAATCCTTTGAGCTTGTTCACATGAGGACACTAAAGAATTTGATCTGAATTAATAGTATATGTGAATTGGAAGTTTTTCAAACACTTCATTAAACTTCTGCTCTTTTCTCTAATGTAATTTTCATCTATTCATACCTAAGGTATGAATTTCTCACTTGTATAACTGGAAGATACTTCAAATATGAATGAAATCTGTACTTCTGATTCAGTGGCAGGGCAACTGCATATACTTGTAAAAAAATACAAAGATAGCTTTACTCAAGCTTCTCTCCCCCCGTGACTATGCCATCTCTTTCACCTTTGAGAAACTGGTATTGAGATTGTACATAGCTCACACCTAGCTATGAGATACAGCATAGCTACCCTTTGCTCAAGTCAATGTTTTAAAGTCTGCTTCTGGATTTCTAGTGTTTGTATGTTGTAACACTGAGCATTTAATGCCAGTTTCTTTTGCCTTGAATGTAGGCTTATTTCTATAATCAGGGATGGTGGAGAATGAGTTATAGAAATGCTGATTTGATATTACCGTGAAGCACAAATCTGGTAGATATTTATTTCTTGTCAAGCATATAGGCTAAGAGATGGTTGGGAGATTTTTGCCTAAGTTTACCTTATTTGCCCTAAATGAAGATTTGTAGTAAAGTTTCTCAATTATGTAGGCATGAAGTATCAATAGTCACTTATTCTTGCTGCTGGAAGATGAACCTGTGCTATCTTCTGTTACTGATGTGATTTATAGGCGGGTATTCTGTCATAAAGTGTGTCCTGTAAAGGACTTGATTTAAAATGACTGTCTAAACTAATACATACTGAAAGAGTAATTCTGAAAATATGGTTTAGACATTAAGTAGTGGAACTACTATATGAGGTCATAATACATAATCCCTTCAAATTCACAACTACGTGAATTTGAAGGCTAAATAAAGGATTAAATTCCAGTGATATTTAAACCTACTCTAGCCACTTAAACAGGAAATATATTGCATTGTTTAGGTTTTTAAATCTGAAATATAGTATTTGCTCTGTCATTTTATGAAAAGATATTGTTTATTTTAATAAAAGTAGCTGGAATAGTAAATTAATACTTAAATTATTTTTGTGTTTTCCTTATCAGGAAGATGAGGTGATCATTTTACATAATTGAGATGTAGTTTAATTTTACTGATGTGTCTAAGTATTGTGTGAAGTGAATTTTTCAGATGCATGTGGTGTTTTGATGAAAATCATGTTAGCTTATTTGACATTAGCGAGACTTCTATTTAGTTAATTATCCTTTTTAGTTGAAAACATTTTAAAGTAATTAAAAATGTAGCTCAGTCTGTGCATGTTCAGTTACTCTTGATTGCATGCAGATGTGTTACTAGCTACTGTTTAAACCCATTAATAGGTAAAATGGCTTTTGATGTATTTAAATTGGGAAAATCAACAAAATGTTAAATTGGTGTTTTAAAAGTAGCTGGTATTCTTCTAGCCCATAGAGCACTGCAAACAACTTTTCTGTTTTTTAATCACCAGCAAACTTTAGCAAGTATATTTCTCTAAATAAGTCTGTTTAGGATAGGGATAATTCTTCCATTTCTTGTTTGTCCTATACTTCTTTCCCATGGCCTTTTAGACTTTCTGTTACACTATCACAAGGACCTGTTTTCTTTCAACTGCTAGGGGCTAGAATAGCACTTCTTTGTATAAATGTTTTGATAGCTCCCTAGCTGGAGCCTTCCTTTCCACTGCTCACTATCCTGTATTCCCATCCTTAGCTATCACATTCTCCAACTTCAGCTTTCTGGAGGTAGTTTGAAGTTTGCAGATCATGCTTTGAAGTACTGACAAATTAAAACAAATTAGGGTTCTTGCAATGAAGAGCTCTAATATCTTTCTACTTGGTTTAGCATGCTTTTTGTTATGTTTTTTTCTTGACTGGAAATAATTGCATTTAATTTAAAATCACTTACTGAATTTTTTGTTTATGATCTTATTTTATAGTATCTCAAAGCAGGTTCCTTGAAGGATCCACTCTTAGATGATCATGGAGATTTCAACAGAATGTGCACAGCAATGAAAAAGATTGGTCTGGATGATGCAGAAAAACTTGATCTTTTTAGAGTAGTGGCTGGTGTCCTTCACCTTGGAAATATTGATTTTGAGGAAGCTGGGAGCTCTTCAGGTTAGAAAAAACAAATTGTTTTCTGTAAAAATACTGAAAATGTCTCTCGATTATAGATGATTCCATATGAATTGCTGCTTTAGAAAGCTGTCTTGTGTTCAAGGGTAATTTAGTATTAATTCACTCCATTTTGAAGTCAGGTTTACCTGTTTGTTTTAAAATTGTAATTCTTTACATGCTTTGAAAGCAAATAGGCTCTCACTGAAATTGTTCAAGAAATTGTTCGGTGCAAAGTTTGATGCAAAGATGTGTTGGTACAAGCATAGCTGGGACTTAATAGCAGAATGTGCAGGAAAGCTGAGGAGGCGGAATGAGTACTTTGGGAACAATTTTTACCTTAGTGCTGTAATCAGCCTCTCTTAAGTTGAGAACTGCTGTCCGTATATTTCTGAAAGGCTGAAAAAGCTCACATTCTGGACATACTACAAATCTATAGTAGAAAACATATGTATATGTAGATCTTCATCTTCAAGATACACATATACAGTGAAATTAGCTCTTACTCCTGCTTCAAGGAGTAGGTTCTTAGGAAGGGCATAGCAAAGAACATTTTACAAAGTGTTTTGAATGGTAAATTGAATGAGTACTAGCCTTGCAGGTTCGCTAGCTCCCAAACCCAAGCACAGAGTCACCACAGAACTGTACAGACACTTTGCTTGGAAGAGATTGTAGGAGGTCTCTAGTCCAATCTGTCCTTGACAAAGTAGGGCCAGTACAGACTTCAGACTGGTTAGCTCACAGAGAAGGGCTGTCACAGAGGTGGTAAGGGGGTATTTTTGGTTTTTTTTTGGATTTGTTGGAGTTTTTTTGTGAGGTTTTTTTTTTTTCTTTGGTTTGTTTTTTTTTTTTTTTTTTTTTTTTTGGGTTTTGGGGTTTGGGTGGTTTTTTTTTTTTTTGGTTTTTTTTTTTTTTTTTTTTGTTGGTTTGGGCCTTTTTCCCCCCTTAGGTCAAATCAGAACCTTCCCAGTATCGGTTCATGATGTCTCCATCTTCATGAAGAGGACTGAAATGAACATGATTAATGTGACTGAATCTGGGAAGACATGGGGGTAGAGAAGGGTAGTGGCTTCACCAGGCTCAGCAGTAAGCTGACAGAAATCTCCCTGTTTGGGCTTTCTGGGAGTTGAGACTTTGGGATTGACAAGGTGGTGAAAAAGGTGGAAATGTGAATGCAGAGGCAGTTTCAGGAGGCAAATGAACAAGGAGAGCAGGAACCATGGATGATGAGGAAAGTCAGGGTTTAGAGAAGAGAAGGGACACCAGAAAACTTACTTTCTCTGAATTTGGAATTTCAAACCCTTCCCCCTCCCACCCCCCCGGAATAAGTTACTGAACTTCCAAAATGTTCATTGCAAATACGGGCTGTATTCTGCTCTCACATTGTATGTGTACACACAGGGTGCACATTTGAACTGCTCCAGGCAGTGTGTCTTTGTTACCAGAGACCCTCTGAAGTCCTGTTGCTGCTTCAAAAACCTGGGAAACACTAAACAAAAGCTGTTTACTACAGGAAAGATGGTGTTTCAGAGCTTCCAAAATCAAGTCACAAAAGCCTTAATCTTTTAAGGACTCCTTTTACTCTTTTTTTTTTCTTTTTTTTCTTTTTACTAGCTATTTAAGTTATTTATCTCTTTTGGTCTCTTCACTTATGTGTAGAAATTTTACTGAGAACAACAGAAAATAACTGTAATCATGGCACATGTAGTTCAGTGTTAGATTTTGCTGAAGTGTTTGACTGTAAAGAGATTTATGAACCTGTAGTGGCTGGACGAGCTCTAGCACTGAGGCCATGGTGCCAGGCAGAAGGAAGCACACTTCCCAGCTGTTTACCTGGGAAAATGTACATACCATTATCTAAGAATGTAAGCAATGGGAGTCTGCTGTGCCAGGCACTTGTGCTGCAGTGCAAGGAAGTCTGGGGGATTGCAGAAGTTTAAATCACTACAGTTAGTTGCTAGGTATTAGCATTTTAGCATTTTGGGATAGTTCTTTCGCTTACAAGCTGGTTAGCTTTTAGTTCTTTCATTTACAAGCAGGTTAGCTTTTAGTTCTTTCATTTACAAGCAGGTTAGCTTTTGAACAGCCCATGCTTAGAACAGTATTCTAGAAATACAGAATTTATTGGTTTGTGTGTGGTTTTTTTTTTTTTTGCGTGTGT